ATTCGTTCCATGCTGCGCCTGGCCTGATACAGCGGAAATTCCACGCAGAGGTTCAAATTAGACCTCAAGACGCACGTGGGTGCATCACCCACGTCGCTCTCGTCTCAAATGTCCTCAGTGTGCAAGCGCATTTGCCACAGATTTTAATATGTAACAAGCGTCGTCTCAGCAGAACCCTGGAGCAACAATTGCAAAGCGTTGTTCCCTCCACCGTGACTCTCTGTCGTGAGGATTCCTCATGGAATTCAGCACGACATATGGTCTCCTTGCTAACTCTCTTGGGTCAGCTCTTTCGCATCCGCGTCCCGCAATATCAGGCCATTGTTGTCTTCGACGCGGCCTCGTGCCATCTTTCTCCGGGCGTCATAAGAGAAGGACGCCTCCAGGGGTTATTCATGCTGCCGGTGCCCCCAGGCATGACGTCCTACCTGCAGCCTTTAGATTTATGGTGTTTTGGACCATATAAGAAATGGTTGGAGCGCGAAAACCGCCAGCAGCGAATTTGCCAAAATGGGCTCGTGTCTCTAGAGACTTGGTTTAGAACAATTTTCAAAGCGTGTACAGACTACTGGACGAATCGTCCCTTTTGGAAGGACTTTGCACAGGCAGGCCTTCCCACATCCGAGCAAAGGTTGCATGGCAAGCTTGCCTCGCTGTTCCCGGAGGGAATTCCCTGTCTGGAGCAAGCTTTGTCTCCAGATGAATTTGCACAGTTGTTGCCTAAAAGGCACGACTTGACCCGGACTTTTTCTGACTGGGTGGGCGGTCCCCGGCGAGAGGTGCCGGTGCTTTCCTAAACATCTTGAAGCATGCAGAGAAGACGTGCTGCCGCAAAAAATTGCAACTGTACAGGAACGACTTGTGCCCCTAGCGTATCAGCTGCTGCCAAGCACTCTGATTTGGCTCCGGCCATCAAGCAGTTAATATGGCGCTTGCTGAGTTCTCTGCTTGGCTCCAGCAAACCCTGCCTTAAAACACCGTGCTGAAGGCATGGCAAACAACGAGGCAGGTCAACACTGTTTCACAGCACCCCTGCTGAAACAAAGCGCCCCGCCCGAGGCCGAGGTTGCGGGACCTGAGCTTCCACGAGAGCCCGACCGTGTGGAACTGCCCCAGGTAGCCATGCCAAAAAAGCATCCACAGGAGCAGCTGCTCACTCGTATCTACGCAGGAAACGCTGAACGAACGCCTTGCTGCCCTAAAAGCTGCCAGGGCAGCTGCGAAGGCTCACAGCATTGTGTGTCTTAGGAGGCTCAGGCCCTTTCTTGTACAGCCTTGTGTGCCTCTCCAGGTACAAGCCAAGCAGCTGAGCAAGGTGGTAAAGGCCGAAACAAAAAAGCTCAAAAAAGCGCGGGCGGTGGCACGAAAGCTGAGCGAGGCAGACTTGCTAGGGCTTCTTGTAGAAAAGAGGCAACCAGTTCTCTGAGAGTGGGAGCTGGAAGCTTCTAGAAACTGTTTTTTCGAAAGCTTTTCCCTCGTTTCTCACTCCCGCAGCTGATGCTCTTGATAATCTGCAGACTTCTTCTGAAGTCGACAAGTTTGTGCAGACTCCAAACTTTTCTTCCGCACTCTAAACGCCTGTGCTGTTGCTGCTTTCTGCAAGAGAAGCAGATGCAGCGACACGTGCCTTGAAAATATTGCTGCTTTGTTTTGCTGAAATGATGTCGGAGATGGTGGCAGTAGTCCTGTGAAGTTTTCATTCGCTCTTTTGCAAGTAACAAGTCGTAGCCGTGATGCTTTTGTCCTAACATGTTCAGACTTTTGGCAAGAACATTGTTAATGTGCTTTGGGGAAGACTGAAGACAGCAGTGCACGGCAGCATGAGCTCAACAATGGTGTGCTTTGTCTGCGATGGATCGGTCGTGACCTGAGATGCTAGCCTGTCTCTGCGTTGTTGCGGGCGTTCTTGCAAGCCCTGCTGTCCTATTTAGGAAAATATTGCATCGGATCAAGCTTTTGAGATTTCGGAAGATATTGCATCGGATCAAACTTTTGAGAAATAGGAAGTTATTGCTTCGGATCAACCTTTGAGATGTGCTCTGGAGTACTGCTAGCGATGGTAGAGACAGCAGTGCAGTGCAGTACAGCGGCATCTGACGACTGAAGACAGTAGTGCAGTGCAGCAAATACTGCGCCGTTCTTGAGGTGTTATTTTTTTTGCGACGGATCAGTCGTGACCTGAGATCCAAGCCTCTTTCTGTGCTGTTGCTGCCGTTCTTGCAAGTAGCCGCGTCGTGCTGTCATATTTGGGAAGATATTGCATCGGATCAACCTTTTGAGATTTAGGACATAATTGCATCGGATCAAGCTTTTGAGATGTGCTCTGGAGTGCTGTAAACGATGGTAGGGACAGCAGTGGAGTGCAGCGCAGTGCAGTGCATCTGAAGACTGAAGACAGTAGTGCAGTGCAGCAAATACTGCGCCGTTCTTGAGGTGTGATTTTTTTTGCGACGGATCAGTCGTGACCTGAGATCCAAGCCTCTTTCTGTGCTGTTGCTGCCGTTCTTGCAAGTAGCCGCGTCGTGCTGTCATATTTGGGAAGATATTGCATCGGATCAACCTTTTGAGATTTAGGACATAATCGCATCGGATCAAGCTTTTGAGATGTGCTCTGGAGTGCTGTAAACGATGGTAGGGACAGCAGTGCAGTGCAGCGCAGTGCAGTGCATCTGAAGACTGAAGACAGCAGCGCAGTGCAGCATCAGCTCAATGATGCGCCGTTCTTGAGGTGTGATTTTTTTTGCTACGGATCAGTCGTGACCTGAGATCCAAGCCTCTCTCTGTGCTGTTGCGGCCGTTCTTGCAAGTAGCCGCGTCGTGCTGTCATATTTGGGAAGATATTGCATCGGATCAACCGTTTGAGATTTAGGACATAATTGCATCGGATCAAGCTTTTGAGATGTGCTCTGGAGTGCTGTAAACGATGGTAGGGACAGCAGTGCAGTGCAGCGCAGTGCAGTGCATCTGAAGACTGAAGACAGCAGCGCAGTGCAGCATCAGCTCAATAATGCGCCGTTCTGGAGGTGTGATTTTTTTTGCCACGGATCAGTCGTGACCTGAGATCCAAGCCTCTCTCTGTGCTGTTGCGGCCGTTCTTGCAACTAGCCGCGTCGTGCTGTCATATTTGGGAAGATATTGCATCGGATCAACCTTTTGAGATTTAGGACATAATCGCATCGGATCAAGCTTTTGAGATGTGCTCTGGAGTGCTGTAAACGATGGTAGGGACAGCAGTGCAGTGCAGCGCAGTGCAGTGCATCTGAAGACTGAAGACAGTAGCGCAGTGCAGCATCAGCTCAATGATGCGCCGTTCTTGAGGTGTGATTTTTTTTGCGACGGATCAGTCGTGACCTGAGATCCAAGCCTCTCTCTGTGCTGTTGCGGCCGTTCTTGCAAGTAGCCGCGTCGTGCTGTCATATTTGGGAAGATATTGCATCGGATCAACCTTTTGAGATTTAGGACATAATTTCAACCTTTTGAGTTGCTAACGCGGTAAAGGGCAGTGTTCGTGGTGTCGTGCTCTGGAGTGCTGCTAACGCGGCAGAGACAGCAGTGCAGCGGCAATTCAAGACTCTTCGCAGGGTTGCTCTTTCAGTTCAGCTCCTTTTAGGGTTTAGGGTTCCTCAACACATCTGGGGTTTCCCAACCAACATCTCCTTTTAGGGTTGAAGGTGTTATTTTCTGGTTTTGAGCGGAGATTTTTAGACTTCTGCCAAGAACACGCTTCCAAAGAATAGCTGGAGACTCTGCAAATCCAGTTTTACGTGGTGTGGCGCTCTGGAGTGCTGTTAACGCGGTAGAGACAGCAGTGCAGTGCAGCGGCAATTGAAGATTGAGTAGAGACAACAGTACAGTGTGGCACCGGGTAAATCAAGCGCTGCTCCCTAGGTTTTTCTGATTTCTGACACATCGGTCGCGACCTGAGATTGACACACTGAGAACAGTCCCAGTCATGGTTTGGAGTGCCGCTACGTGATGGAGAGCGAGGTTAGTGGCGTCGTGCTCTAAAGTGCTGCTATAACGCGGTAGAGACAGCAGTGCAGTGCAGCCGCAGTTTCAAGACTGACTAGAGACAACAGTACAGTGTAGCATCAGGTAAATCAAGCGCAGTTCCCTAGGCTTTTCTGATTTCTGACGCATCGGTCGCGACCTGAGATTGACAGACTCAGAACAAGTCATGGTCTGGAGTGCTGCTACGTGATAGAGAGCGATGTTAGTGGCGTCGTGCTCTGAAGTGTTGCTTTAACGCGGTAGAGACAGCAGTGCAGTGCAGCGGCAGTTTGAAGACTGAATGTTGCTGTGTCGTGCTGTGGAGCGTGCGTGCAGTGCAGCTTTGTTTTCAGAATGAAAACTGCAGGCAGTGCAGTTGCCGAGGCTTGCTTGACTTCCATCGGATTTGTGACTGAACAGGGCAAAAGTCCAGCCGCTCCTTGCTTTGTAGCTTGCAGAAGGCGTTGACGCAATTTACACTTCGGCATTGTCCTGCTCCCACCACGTACACTTCACAGCGTAGAAGCGCCGCACGATGCAAAGAGATGCCTGTTTTGCTCGCTACCCCCCTCCTTGGTTTCATTTTGCTCGGGATGCGCTGCTCATGTTGCTCGCTTTGTCTCCCCAGTTTTATTGCTCAAAGGACGCTCTTCTGGTCGCTCAAGCGTGGATCCACCAAGAAAAAGACATGCCATCGTCCACCTGGGCCGAAGGACTGGAGACCACTAGTAGCTGGAAGGCCACAGTGAGCCCCGTGAGGCGTTCCTTTTTTTCTGCTCTGGGAGAATAATAATTCTATTCTCCCACAGCGGGAAAAAAGGAATGCCTTCCCCACTAGGGGGATTTCCATCTGGAAGGTTCCTTTGCGTTCCTTTCCGCTCTGTTTTCCACCAGAAACGTGGAAGTCGCAAGGGTTCTGACAGGTTTGGTGTTCCCTTTCCATTCCTTTCCACAGTTTTGGACATCCAGTGATCTGTTCTGCCGTTGGCGCGTGGCCCAAAGTTGCTTCAATGAAGCGCCGGCGTTTGCTATATAAGCAGCCTCTTCCTGCCGCGCCGTCGAGTGATGAGCTTGGGCAGGTGAGAACGCTTGTGAGAGACAAGTGGGTTGCCTCCTACCTTGCCGAGCATGGACGTGGGGGTCAGGATGCACGTGCTGCGGCCAAACGAGAGTTCACCTCAGCCGCCAACAAGCGTCAGATGCTGAGTTCCATGCTGGAGTCTGGGCAGGTACCACCCCGGCTTCATGCAGCAGCCACCCGTCTAATCATGGCTTGGACATCTGAGACGCCCCTCCGTGGCCCACATGAGGTGGAGGAGGATGTCATGAGTTCGTACCGTGGCAGTGGGACTATGTTTCGGTATTCAGGGTCGTGGAGCCGTGTGGACGATGCCGCAATGTCGGCGGTGCTGGTTGCGAAGGGTCACAATGGCATTTCTGAGGTATGCAGTCGCCTCAAGTGTCACCCCTATGTGCAAGGATTGTGGGACGAGTTCTCGGCCTTCAGGCAGCAGCTGGTGTCAAGCACACCTATCACGCGCTGGACTGCAGCCATGGAGCTACATGTGGAAGCTTCGCTTGCGGCCAACCCTCCCATTCCATCGGTACACATACATTTTATGTTTGATGCCATTGGCAAGACCATCTCATTTCGAAATGAGCCTGGATTGAAGTTTCGCAACTCGCAGCCGTACAGGTCGCTTGCAGCACCAGTCGCCCGCGGACGGGCTTGCAAACGAGCCTATGATCAGGGGCACTTTTACTTGACTCCGCTCAAGACAGGTGCCATACTCCATGCCACAAATGCACCACCGTTCAAGTCCTATGCAGTGTCTCCAGAATGGATCACAAGCATGTGGCAAGGGGATAAATTGTCTCCGGAATCGGCCAAGGAACTCTATCTCAAGTGCAAAAAGCACGTCAAACAGTATTGTGACAATGTCACATCACAGGTCCAGATGACCCAGCAGAGCAACTTGCAGGAACGCCAGGCTGCAGCACAGGCAGCCTTGCTCCGCATGCATCGTCCTCGGGTGTATCTGGAACCAGTGGAACAAGAGTTCTTGCCTCAATTCCAGGTGGATGCTTTCAGACGACGCTTCTTGGTGCTGGACGGACCCACGAAGCTCGGCAAGACGATCTTTGCCTCCAGCCTTGCAGGACCCGAACACACTCTGGAGTTGAATTGTGCATCGTCCATGGAACCCAATTTGCGGGACTTCAACAATGATGTTCATCGCGCGATCGTGTTTGATGAGGCATCTTGTGCCATGGTTCTCCGGCACAAGAAGCTTTTCCAGGGTGGTGTGCAACCACTGGAACTGGCCAGCTCCAACACGAATTGCTACTCTTACAAGGTTTGGGTCTATGGCACGATGATGATCGACAAGCAACACCTGGACTGCAGAGTTGCATGAGCTGTCACCTGAGGACGCATCATGGCTGCGTTCCAATTCGGTGCACGTCTACTGCACACAGAAATTGTATTGCTAATGACTGCTAATGCATGAGTGACTATGGCGAAGAAAGGGCCACGTCTGCTGCTGTCACTTTGGTGCAAGGCTTCCAAGACCACGTCAGATTTTCTCACTCTGGGGCCAGTGCCGAGGCAGAGAGTTTCAAGCTAGGACGTCTGCTGGTTTCAGTTTGGGGTGACAGTGCCTCCCAAGATGACGTTGGGTTTCCGAAGAAGGTGTTGAAAGTGCCAACGTCTGCTGTTGTCACTTCGGCTGTTGTCACTTCGGTGCAAGGCTTCCAAGACCACGTCAGATTTTCTCACTTTGGCGGGCAGTGCCTCCAAAAAAGGCTTCCAGCCCTCCAGCCTCCAGCCTTCCAGCCTTCCAGCTCTGCAGGTCCCCAGCCCTCCAGCTTTTTAGGGCAGAGAAGCAGAGGGAGGGGCTGGAAAGGGTTGGGAGCTGGAGAAGGCTGGAAGGCTGGAGGGCTGAGGGGTGGAAGGCTGGAACTGGAGCGCTGGAAGGTGGAGGCTGGAGGGAAGGCTGGAGGGTTGGAGGAGGGCTGGAAGGCTGGACTCCAGCCTCCAGCCCTCCCTCCAACCTTCCAGCCCTCCAGCCTTCCAGCCTGGCTGAGGGGTGGAAGGCTGGAGTGCGGGAGGGGAGGGAGGGAGGGAGGGAGGGAGTGAGGGAGGGAGGGAGGGAGGGAGTGAATGAGGGAGTGAGGGAGGGAGGGAGCGAATCAGGGAATGAGGGAGTCAGGGAATGAATGAGTGGTTGAGACGTTGATGCCGTCCGTATCTGCCGTATCGTGTTTCGCTAGTGGTTTCCATGATGTTCCATGCAAAAAATGCAATATTTGTCAAGAAAGTGAGAGTTCGCGGGGCCACCAGCGACGGGCAGAGTTCGAAAAAACTGGTCTATGAAGTGTTTGACACGTTCAGTCCGTCCGTATTTGCCGTGTCGTTGTCCGCTAGTGCTTTCCATGCAAAAAAGGCAAGATTGTCAAGAAACTGAGAGTGGCGCAGCCACCAGGGACAGTGCAGAGTTCGAAAAAAATGGTGTATGAAGTGTTTGACACATTCAGACCGTCCGCATCTGCCGTGTTGTATTTCGCTAGTACTTTCCGTGCAAAAATGCAATATTGTCTAGAAATTGAGAGTTCGCGCAGCAACCAGCCGCAGTGCAGAGTTCGAAAAAAATGGTGTGTGAAGTGTTTGACACGTTGAGGCCGTCCGTATCTGCCGTGTTGTATTTCGCTAGTGCTTTCCATGCAAAAAAGGCAACATTGTCTAGAAATTGAGAGTTAGCGCAGCCACCAGCCGCAGTGCAGAGTTCGAAAAAAATGGTGTATCAAGTGTTTGACACGTTCAGGTTGTGAGTATCTTCTGGGGGAGCGCGGGAGGGAGGGAGGGAAGGAGGGAAGGAGGAGGAAAGGAGGGAACAGGGAGGGAGGGAAGGGAGGGAGGGAGGGAGCGAGGGAGGGAGGGAGGGAGGGGCGGGAAAGAGAGAGAGAGAGAGAGAATTACTGAAAGTGACAGTGAGAGCGAGAGTGAGAGTCAGAGTGCGAGTGCGAGTGCGGGTGAGAGTGAGGGTGAGAGTGAGTGTGCGCGTGAGTGTGAGCGAGAGGGAGAGAGAGTGCCCAGGTGATGGCGGGGTCGTCAAAGTCAGAGGCAGCCGCTTTTGAAGTGTAGTGCTCGTGACCGCTGCGGAGTCGTCAAAGTCAGAGGCAGCCGCTTTTGAAGTGTAGTGCTCGTGACCGCTGATCCTGTTTGTTTCCTGTTGGTCGAACCCACCCCTCCGGGGGGCGGGGCAGTGTGTCTTGCTGGCGCAGGGCTTGGGACCGCTTTATGGGGCTTGATTCCCACAGCAAGTGCTAGGAGGCCAAGTCGTGCCTGTAGAGTAAAAGCCAGCGGTGTTCAGACAGGCTATGCGATTGATTGCTTGTGCTGCATCATGCAGTTTTCCACAGCCACTAGCTGCTACTCGACATCCGTTTTCTCAGAGCAGAGGCGGTTTTGCGTTTGAAACATGGCTGCCGCAAATCCAGCAGTGGAGCTGCAGCGGATCCGCCAGGAGGTTTCTTTTGGTAGGTAGGACGACATAGAAAGGGAGCAGTTGTGCATTGTTGCTACTTTCTGTCGTGTGATTTCCTTTGGAAGGTTGCATGTCTTCGAAGAAAGATTTCTTCGTTGTCACGGACGAGAAGAGCCGAGAAGCAGCGGGAAGCCAACATGGGTTTGAATCCCCGTCAAGTGTTTGTCTTATTGGCGATTTATGTACTTACTGGTGACCCAGCGGTGGCTCTCGAGTATATCAGCGCGAAGGCTGCGCGTGAAAGGATGGAAGAGGCAGACGCAGAAGACAAGAAACGATATGTAGAAGAGCTGTACCTCAAAACAAGCTTGGAAGACATAGCATCGCTGCAGGATCCTTCTGGTTCGCGGCAGGGCATTTACAAGACTGCACAGCGTTGGATTGCCAGACGAAGAACCAGAAACTTCGTGTGCAATATGAATGCGATTGGCGTGGCTCCAAGTTCAGAGCAAGTTGCAGAAGAATATCGCAAACAAAGTGCGTCCTCTGTACCAACTACCGATGCCCGTGGATTACGAGCCTGGAGCAGTCGCTTCCGTCGCAGTTTTGCCTTCCGGCTGGGCAAGATGAAAGCGGCCAAGCCAGTGGAAGATGTTTGTGCAAAGGCCGGGTGCTGGGTTCTCGAGACTTCCTGCACGCGTAACACCGCATGCTTATGGTAGCTGCTTGCAGTGGATCGTTCTGCACTTATCTGCGTTTCGATACCTCCTAACCAGCGGCAGCATTTGGACCCGAGGATTGAGGGGCCGCATCGCTTTCGACTCCATGCGGGGATGCTTTTTGAGCTCATTTTTGGACCCTCTTTTTGGAGCTGCTTTCTAAGGCTAACTCGTGGAAGCACTTACAACCCCAAAACGAGGCTCCAAAATGAGGCCTCGTTCTGGCTCCAGTTTTGGGGCCCAATTTGGGTTCAATTTCGGTAAGCCATTTCTCGTTGCCTGCAGGCCGTGCTCTTCTGGCGCCACGCTGCTTGGTTGGAACGCTCCAGCGCGAAGCAGCCAGTCTACATCAATATAGATGAAACGGCTTTAGCCTATTCGTTCCATGCTGCGCCTGGCCTGATACAGCGGAAATTCCACGCAGAGGTTCAAATTAGACCTCAAGACGCACGTGGGTGCATCACCCACGTCGCTCTCGTCTCAAATGTCCTCAGTGTGCAAGCGCATTTGCCACAGATTTTAATATGTAACAAGCGTCGTCTCAGCAGAACCCTGGAGCAACAATTGCAAAGCGTTGTTCCCTCCACCGTGACTCTCTGTCGTGAGGATTCCTCATGGAATTCAGCGCGACATATGGTCTCCTTGCTAACTCTCTTGGGTCAGCTCTTTCGCATCCGCTTCCCGCAATATCAGGCCATTGTTGTCTTCGACGCGGCCTCGTGCCATCTTTCTCCGGGCGTCATAAGAGAAGGACGCCACAAGGGGTTATTCATGCTGCCGGTGCCCCCAGGCATGACGTCCTACCTGCAGCCTTTAGATTTATGGTGTTTTGGACCATATAAGAAATGGTTGGAGCGCGAAAACCGCCAGCAGCGAATTTGCCAAAATGGGCTCGTGTCTCTAGAGACTTGGTTTAGAACAATTTTCAAAGCGTGTACAGACTACTGGACGAATCGTCCCTTTTGGAAGGCCTTTGCACAGGCAGGCCTTCCCACATCCGAGCAAAGGTTGCATGGCAAGCTTGCCTCGCTGTTCCCGGAGGGAATTCCCAGTCTGGAGCAAGCTTTGTCTCCAGATGAATTTGCACAGTTGTTGCCTAAAAGGCACGACTTGACCCGGACTTTTTCTGACTGGGTGGGCGGTCCCCGGCGAGAGGTGCCGGTGCTTTCCTAAACATCTTGAAGCATGCAGAGAAGACGTGCTGCCGCAAAAAATTGCAACTGTACAGGAACGACTTGTGCCCCTAGCGTATCAGCTGCTGCCAAGCACTCTGATTTTGGCTCCGGCCATCAAGCAGTTAATATGGCGCTTGCTGAGTTCTCTGCTTGGCTCCAGCAAACCCTGCCTTAAAACACCGTGCTGAAGGCATGGCAAACAACGAGGCAGGTCAACACTGTTTCACAGCACCCCTGCTGAAACAAAGCGCCCCGCCCGAGGCCGAGGTTGCGGGACCTGAGCTTCCACGAGAGCCCGACCGTGTGGAACTGCCCCAGGTAGCCATGCCAAAAAGCATCCACAGGAGCAGCTGCTCACTCGTATCTACGCAGGAAACGCTGAACGAACGCCTTGCTGCCCTAAAAGCTGCCAGGGCAGCTGCGAAGGCTCACAGCATTGTGTGTCTTAGGAGGCTCAGGCCCTTTCTTGTACAGCCTTGTGTGCCTCTCCAGGTACAAGCCAAGCAGCTGAGCAAGGTGGTAAAGGCCGAAACAAAAAAGCTCAAAAAAGCGCGGGCGGTGGCACGAAAGCTGAGCGAGGCAGACTTGCTAGGGCTTCTTGTAGAAAAGAGGCAACCAGTTCTCTGAGAGTGGGAGCTGGAAGCTTCTAGAAACTGTTTTTTCGAAAGCTTTTCCCTCGTTTCTCACTCCCGCAGCTGATGCTCTTGATAATCTGCAGACTTCTTCTGAAGTCGACAAGTTTGTGCAGACTCCAAACTTTTCTTCTGCACTCTAAACGCCTGTGCTGTTGCTGCTTTCTGCAAGAGAAGCAGATGCAGCGACACGTGCCTTGAAAATATTGCTGCTTTGTTTTGCTGAAATGATGTCGGAGATTGTGGCAGTAGTCCTGTGAAGTTTTCATTCGCTCTTTTGCAAGTAACAAGTCGTAGCCGTGATGCCTTTGTCCTAACATGTTCAGACTTTTGGCAAGAACATTGTTAATGTGCTTTGGGGAAGACTGAAGACAGCAGTGCACGGCAGCATGAGCTCAACAATGGTGTGCTTTGTCTGCGATGGATCGGTCGTGACCTGAGATGCTAGCCTGTCTCTGCGTTGTTGCGGCCGTTCTTGCAAGCCCTGCTGTCCTATTTAGGAAAATATTGCATCGGATCAAGCTTTTGAGATTTCGGAAGATATTGCATCGGATCAAACTTTTGAGAAATAGGAAGTTATTGCTTCGGATCAACCTTTTGAGATGTGCTCTGGAGTACTGCTAGCGATGGTAGAGACAGCAGTGCAGTGCAGTACAGCGGCATCTGACGACTGAAGACAGTAGTGCAGTGCAGCAAATACTGCGCCGTTCTTGAGGTGTGATTTTTTTTGCGACGGATCAGTCGTGACCTGAGATCCAAGCCTCTTTCTGTGCTGTTGCTGCCGTTCTTGCAAGTAGCCGCGTCGTGCTGTCATATTTGGGAAGATATTGCATCGGATCAACCTTTTGAGATTTAGGACATAATTGCATCGGATCAAGCTTTTGAGATGTGCTCTGGAGTGCTGTAAACGATGGTAGGGACAGCAGTGCAGTGCAGCGCAGTGCAGTGCATCTGAAGACTGAAGACAGCAGCGCAGTGCAGCATCAGCTCAATAATGCGCCGTTCTTGAGGTGTGATTTTTTTTGCGACGGATCAGTCGTGACCTGAGATCCAAGCCTCTCTCTGTGCTGTTGCGGCCGTTCTTGCAAGTAGCCGCGTCGTGCTGTCATATTTGGGAAGATATTGCATCGGATCAACCTTTTGAGATTTAGGACATAATTGCATCGGATCAAGCTTTTGAGATGTGCTCTGGAGTGCTGTAAACGATGGTAGGGACAGCAGTGCAGTGCAGCGCAGTGCAGTGCATCTGAAGACTGAAGACAGCAGCGCAGTGCAGCATCAGCTCAATAATGCGCCGTTCTTGAGGTGTGATTTTTTTTGCCACGGATCAGTCGTGACCTGAGATCCAAGCCTCTCTCTGTGCTGTTGCGGCCGTTCTTGCAACTAGCCGCGTCGTGCTGTCATATTTGGGAAGATATTGCATCGGATCAACCTTTTGAGATTTAGGACATAATCGCATCGGATCAAGCTTTTGAGATGTGCTCTGGAGTGCTGTAAACGATGGTAGGGACAGCAGTGCAGTGCAGCGCAGTGCAGTGCATCTGAAGACTGAAGACAGCAGCGCAGTGCAGCATCAGCTCAATGATGCGCCGTTCTTGAGGTGTGATTTTTTTTTGCGACGGATCAGTCGTGACCTGAGATCCAAGCCTCTCTCTGTGCTGTTGCGGCCGTTCTTGCAAGTAGCCGCGTCGTGCTGTCATATTTGGGAAGATATTGCATCGGATCAACCTTTTGAGATTTAGGACATAATTGCAACCTTTTGAGTTGCTAACGCGGTAAAGGGCAGTGTTCGTGGTGTCGTGCTCTGGAGTGCTGCTAACGCGGCAGAGACAGCAGTGCAGCGGCAATTCAAGACTCTTCGCAGGGTTGCTCTTTCAGTTCAGCTCCTTTTAGGGTTTAGGGTTCCTCAACACATCTGGGGTTTCCCAACCAACATCTCCTTTTAGGGTTGAAGGTGTTATTTTCTGGTTTTGAGCGGAGATTTTTAGACTTCTGCCAAGAACACGCTTCCAAAGAATAGCTGGAGACTCTGCAAATCCAGTTTTACGTGGTGTGGCGCTCTGGAGTGCTGTTAACGCGGTAGAGACAGCAGTGCAGTGCAGCGGCAATTGAAGATTGAGTAGAGACAACAGTACAGTGTAGCACCGGGTAAATCAAGCGCTGCTCCCTAGGTTTTTCTGATTTCTGACACATCGGTCGCGACCTGAGATTGACACACTGAGAACAGTCCCAGTCATGGTTTGGAGTGCCGCTACGTGATGGAGAGCGATGTTAGTGGCGTCGTGCTCTAAAGTGCTGCTATAACGCGGTAGAGACAGCAGTGCAGTGCAGCCGCAGTTTCAAGACTGACTAGAGACAACAGTACAGTGTAGCATCAGGTAAATCAAGCGCAGTTCCCTAGGCTTTTCTGATTTCTGACGCATCGGTCGCGACCTGAGATTGACAGACTCAGAACAAGTCATGGTCTGGAGTGCTGCTACGTGATAGAGAGCGATGTTAGTGGCGTCGTGCTCTGAAGTGTTGCTTTAACGCGGTAGAGACAGCAGTGCAGTGCAGCGGCAGTTTGAAGACTGAATGTTGCTGTGTCGTGCTGTGGAGTTGCGTGCAGTGCAGCTTTGTTTTCAGAATGAAAACTGCAGGCAGTGCAGTTGCCGAGGCTTGCTTGACTTCCATCGGATTTGTGACTGAACAGGGCAAAAGTCCAGCCGCTCCTTGCTTTGTAGCTTGCAGAGCAGGCGTTGACGCAATTTACACTTCGGCATTGTCCTGCTCCCACCACGTACACTTCACAGCGTAGAAGCGCCGCACGATGCAAAGAGATGCCTGTTTTGCTCGCTACCCCCCTCCTTGGTTTCATTTTGCTCGGGATGCGCTGCTCATGTTGCTCGCTTTGTCTCCCCAGTTTTATTGCTCAAAGGACGCTCTTCTGGTCGCTCAAGCGTGGATCCACCAAGAAAAAGACATGCCATCGTCCACCTGGGCCGAAGGACTGGAGACTCACTGGAGACCACTAGTAGCTGGAAGGCCACAGTGAGCCCCGTGAGGCGTTCCTTTTTTTCTGCTCTGGGAGAATAATAATTCTATTCTCCCACAGCGGGAAAAAAGGAATGCCTTCCCCACTAGGGGGATTTCCATCTGGAAGGTTCCTTTGCGTTCCTTTCCGCTCTGTTTTCCACCAGAAACGTGGAAGTCGCAAGGGTTCTGACAGGTTTGGTGTTCCCTTTCCATTCCTTTCCACAGTTTTGGACATCCAGTGATCTGTTCTGCCGTTGGCGCGTGGCCCAAAGTTGCTTCAATGAAGCGCCGGCGTTTGCTATATAAGCAGCCTCTTCCTGCCGCGCCGTCGAGTGATGAGCTTGGGCAGGTGAGAACGCTTGTGAGAGACAAGTGGGTTGCCTCCTACCTTGCCGAGCATGGACGTGGGGGTCAGGATGCACGTGCTGCGGCCAAACGAGAGTTCACCTCAGCCGCCAACAAGCGTCAGATGCTGAGTTCCATGCTGGAGTCTGGGCAGGTACCACCCCGGCTTCATGCAGCAGCCACCCGTCTAATCATGGCTTGGACATCTGAGACGCCCCTCCGTGGCCCACATGAGGTGGAGGAGGATGTCATGAGTTCGTACCGTGGCAGTGGGACTATGTTTCGGTATTCAGGGTCGTGGAGCCGTGTGGACGATGCCGCAATGTCGGCGGTGCTGGTTGCGAAGGGTCACAATGGCATTTCTGAGGTATGCAGTCGCCTCAAGTGTCACCCCTATGTGCAAGGATTGTGGGACGAGTTCTCGGCCTTCAGGCAGCAGCTGGTGTCAAGCACACCTATCACGCGCTGGACTGCAGCCATGGAGCTACATGTGGAAGCTTCGCTTGCGGCCAACCCTCCCATTCCATCGGTACACATACATTTTATGTTTGATGCCATTGGCAAGACCATCTCATTTCGAAATGAGCCTGGATTGAAGTTTCGCAACTCGCAGCCGTACAGGTCGCTTGCAGCACCAGTCGCCCGCGGACGGGCTTGCAAACGAGCCTATGATCAGGGGCACTTTTACTTGACTCCGCTCAAGACAGGTGCCATACTCCATGCCACAAATGCACCACCGTTCAAGTCCTATGCAGTGTCTCCAGAATGGATCACAAGCATGTGGCAAGGGGATAAATTGTCTCCGGAATCGGCCAAGGAACTCTATCTCAAGTGCAAAAAGCACGTCAAACAGTATTGTGACAATGTCACATCACAGGTCCAGATGACCCAGCAGAGCAACTTGCAGGAACGCCAGGCTGCAGCACAGGCAGCCTTGCTCCGCATGCATCGTCCTCGGGTGTATCTGGAACCAGTGGAACAAGAGTTCTTGCCTCAATTCCAGGTG